GGAGAACTACTCAGCCATTTGCTGCTCAGGCTTGACTCTTCCTCAGAACCAATTAAGGTGAGTGAGGGGTGGGTCAGGCTCAGTTAGCAAGTGCTGGGGGAGGCTATATAAGAACCTCCAGGAGCGTGAGCGAACTTCGCTCACGCACCCCCACAGGAGTAGACTAACAGGGTGTGGCACAACAATTTCAAGGCATTTCAAGCCTGCAGGGCACAACCAGCTCCCTTTTCTTGTAGGTGAGTGTGCTTTTTAAAGCTAACAATGGTTTCCAGAAAAACAAAACTGTTACTGCTGTTAATACTAGGAGTGTGTTTGCTCAGACACTCCCCTCGAAGAAGGATGCAGCCACCCAGGTCTCTGGGTGTGCTGAGTGTCTGAGCCTGACGTTGGTACCGGAGGATGGTGTAGGAGGTAGCTGTGTACGATGCGAGCAGGTGAGTGATTTGCTGTGCCTTGTAGCAGAACTTAAGGAAGAGGTAGAGAGATTAAGGTGCATTAGGGAGAGTGAAAAAGAAATTGACTGGTGGAGTCAAACCCTTTTAAACCCTAAGGAAGTCCAACAGGAGACGGCGAAGCCCTGCCTCTCCTGCCATAAGACAGATGGAGCAGACCAAAATGATGGGGGGAATGGAAACAGGTCCCTAATGGGAGAGGTAGAAGAATTCTTTCTAGACCCCCATCACCCCTCAGGGTGCCCTTTGAAGAATAGATACGAGACTCTGGACCCAGACAGTCAGGTAGAGGACAGCCAAGATGATCCCTCTAGAGAGCCTCCTTGTTTGGCCCCGTCCAAAAGACGGATTACAACCACAGGTATAAAAAAAAAAGAAGGGTAGTTGTAGTCGGTGACTCCCTTTTGAGGGGAACTGAGGGCCCTATATGTCGCCCAGACCCATCCCAGAGAGAAGTATGCTGCCTTCCTGGGGCCAGGGTGAGGGATATTAGTAGGAGACTTCCTGAGTTAATTCAGCCCTCAGACTATTATCCTCTGGTGGTAGTCCAGGCTGGCAGTGAGGACATTAATCAAAGAAGTGCCAAGATAATTAAAAAGACTTTAAAGCACTGGGTCAGTCAGTTCAGGGGACAGGAGCACAGGTGATATTTGCCTCAGTTCCTGTACTATCTGGGATGGATGAGGAGTTAAATAAAGAGAGGAGTAAAAAGCCCAACTCCTCAACAGATGGCTAAAGAATTGGTGCCACCATCAAAATTTTGGTTTCTTTGACCATGGGGCAAACTCCATGGTACCTAGTTTCTTAAAATCAGATGGGATTCATCTTTCTAGGAAGAATAAGAGGACTGTAGCCCATAAGTTAGCGAGGCTGATTAGGAGGGCTTTAAACTAGGTTTGAAGGGGGAAGGGGTTGAAACCGGGCTCTCCAGTGATCAGCCTAAGGATGGAAAGCCTGAGTTAAGAATTAAATCAACAGCCCACCTGAAGTGCATGTACACTAATGCACGCAGTATGGGCAACAAACAAGAGGAGCTGGAGGCAATTGTGCAGCAGGAAGGCTATGATGTAGTCGCCATCACAGAAACATGGTGGGATGACTCGCATGTCTGGAGTGCTGCTATGGAAGGCTATAAGCTCTTCAGGAAGAACAGGCAGGGGAGGAGAGGTGGAGGGGTGGCTTTATATGTTAGAGACTCTCTGGACCCTGTTGAACTTGAGGTCAGCAACAATAAGGTTGAGTGCCTGTGGATCAAAATCAGGGGGAAGACCAACAAGACTGACATCATCATGGGTGTCTGTTACAGACCGCCCTACCAGGATGATGAAGGGGATGAATTATTCTACAAGCAGCTGGCGGATGTCTCAAAATTGTCAGCCCTTGTCCTTGTAGGTGACTTTAACCTGCCAGATATCTGCTGGGAGCTCAATACTGCAGAGAAGAGGCAGTCTAGGAATTTCCTGGAGTGTATAGAGGACAATTTCCTTCATCAACTGGTAAATGAACCTACCAGGGGTAAGGCCCCGCTAGACCTGCTGTTTACAAACAGAGAGGAGCTGGTGGGAGATATAGTGGTTGAAGGCCGCCTAGGAAATAGTGATCATGAAATAATAGAATTTTCAATACTCAGAGATTCAAGGAGAAATAACAATAAAACCTCTACGCTGGACTTTCGGAGGGCAGATTTTGACCTATTCAGAAGTCTAGTCCAGAGCATACCCTGGGAAACAACCCTTGAAAACAAGGGAGTCCAGGAGGGATGGATGTGCTTCAAACAGGAAGTTTTGAGTGCACAGGAACAGGCCATACCGGTGTGCCGAAAGGCAAGCCGGCGGGGAAGACAACCAGCCTGGTTAAACAGGGAGATTCTGAAGGAAATCAGGGATAAAAAGAGAGTTTATCGACTATGGAAGAGAGGGCTGGCTACTTACGAAGAATTCAGGAAGACAGCTAGATCATGCAGAAAGAAAATCAGGGATACAAAAGCGCAATTTGAAGTTAAATTGGCCACTTCTGTTAGGGATAACAAAAAGTCCTTCTATAAATACATTAATAACAAAAGGAGGGGCAAAGAAACCCTCCATTCTTTGATGGACTCGGAGGGAAACAGTAGTTAATAGAGATGAGGAGAAGGCTGAGGTACTTAACACCTACTTTGCCTCAGTTTTTACCAGTAAGACAGGTGGCCCTCAAGGCAACTGGCCTCTGGAGCTGGTAGACAGAGAGAGGGAACCAAATAGCCCCCTGTATTCCAGGAGGAAATAGTTAGTGACTTACTGAGCCACCTGGATCCTCACAAGTCTATGGGACCAGATGGGATCCATCCTAGAGTAATGAGGGAGCTGGCAGAAGAGCTTGCCAAGCCGCTCTCCATTATCTTCCAACAGTCCTGGCTCACTGGGGAGGTCCCACATGATTGGAAGTTGGCAAATATCACCCCAATCCATAAAAAGGCTGCAAGGCTGACCCTGGTAACTACAGACCTGTCAGCCTGACCTCGGTGCCTGGCAGAGTTATGGAACAGATCATCCTGTGTGCAATCACACAGCACCTACAAGATGGACAAGGGATCAGACCCAGCCAGCACGGGTTTAGGAGAGGCAGATCCTGTTTGACCAACCTGATCTCCTTTTACGATCAGGTGACTCAACTGGTGGACGAGGGGAAGGCTGTGGATGTGGTCTATCTGGACTTCAGCAGAGCCTTTGACACTGTCTCCCATAATATACTCCTGGAAAGCTGGCAGCCCATGGCTTGGACAGGGGCACTCTGTGCTGGGTTAGGAACTGGCTGGAGGGCCGGGCCCAAAGAGTGCTGGTGAACGGGGCTGCCTCCAGCTGGCGGCCGGTCACCAGTGGTGTCCCCCAGGGATCAGTGCTGGGCCCAGTCCTGTTTAACATCTTTATCGATGACCTAGATGAGGGATTGAGTCCATCATCAGCAAATTTGCTGATGACACCAAGTTGGGAGGGAGTGTCAACCTACCAGAAGGCAGGAGGGCTCTGCAGAGGGACCTGGATAGACTGGAGAGATGGGCTGACTCCAATGGGATGAAGTTCAACAAGGCCAAGTGCCGGGTCCTGCACTTTGGCCACAACAACCCCTGCAGCGCTACAGGCTGGGGACAGAGTGGTTGGAGAGCAGCCAGGTGGAAAGGGACCTGGGGGTGCTGATTGACAGGAAGCTGAACATGAGCCAGCAGTGTGCCCAGGTGGCCAAGAAGGCCAATGGCATCCTGGCCTGCATCAAGAACAGTGTGGCCAGCAGGAGCAGGGCAGTGATCCTTCCCCTGTACTCTGCGTTGGTGAGGCCGCACCTTGAGTATTGTGTTCAGCTCTGGGCCCCTCAGTTCAGGAAGGATATTGAGGTGCTGGAGCGGGTCCAGAGAAGAGCAACCAGGCTGGTGAAGGGACTTGAGCACAAGTCCTATGAGGAGAGGCTGAGGGAGCTGGGATTGTTTAGTCTAGAGAAGAGAAGGCTTAGAGGTGACCTCATCACTCTCTTCAACTACCTGAAGGGAAGTTATAGCCAGGTGGGGGTTGGTCTCTTCTCCCAGACAACCAACAACAGGACAAGGGGACATGGGCTCAAGCTCTGCCAGGGGAAGTTTAGGTTAGATGTTAGGAAGAAATTCTTTACAGAGAGGGTGATCAGGCATTGGAACGGCCTGCCCAGAGAGGTGGTGGATTCACCATCCCTGGAAGTTTTTAAAAAGAGATTGGACATGGCCCTTAGTGCCATGATATAGTAATTAGAGTTGGATCAGGGGTTGGACTTGATGATCTTGGAGGTCTTTTCCAACCCAATCTATTCTATGATTCTATGATTCTATGATTATTTATTATATTAATAACTGCTACATATGGCGCCCGGAACAGGGACCTAAGCCTTATCCTGCATCAGGAAGAAATACAGACAAGACGTCAGGAACCAGCCTATATTTAATGCTGAGGGACGTCCGCCGTGAAAAAGAAAGAAATGTCAGGTACCAGGGGAAGAAAACTCTGATGGGCATAGGCGGGAGAAACCGCAATTGAGCTCGAAAAAAGGCCTGAATTTGGTAGGAAATTGCCTACGTTTTGAGAGGACGCTCTCGAGAAGAAAAATCTACGTCCCAGGTGAGAGGGCGGGAGAAAAAACAAAAAGAGAAAAAATGAAAACTTTTAATTCACGTGAACCGCAGAATATTGCAAAAGCCTTAAGCTTAATATTGAAAAGACTTTGGAGACAAGTTAACAAACATAAAATAGCTGGACTTTTAAAGTTGATGAAAATAACTCTTTTAGGACTGCTGTTATTTACAATTCTTAATGAAATTACTTGGAAAGAGGAGTGGAGAAACAGAGAGAAAACAGAAGTAAAAAAGGTGGACACTTTAAAACCCTCGCAAGAGAACTCGTCCACAGAGAGAAACTTTGAATCTTCACCTCCCCCAAACATTGTAAAGCATGGAACTCCACGTGCTACTGTAGTGTGGAAAGGGGGAGGGGGTCCGAGAGCACGGAAGAAAAGCCTTAGAATATACCTTTTTGTACTGAATTTTTGCAGAGGCGTGAATTCCAGGAAGAAGGCGCGTGTCGCGGATTATGTGACTGGTAAAAGGGAACAAACTTTGAATCCCCAAGCCATTAAAAACCTGCAGACACGTGCAGACCACGCCGGAGCATGGGCAGCGCCATATTACCCATGCCGGGAGCAAGAGGTAGTGCCTTCTCTTCCTGTCTCGTGGCCATGTTGTGGACTGCCTCTGCTGGAGGTATGCATGGAACATGGTCCGTGCTGGGAACCGGTAACTAAGCAACAGCTGCTGTGCGTACCAGCAACAGTGGCGCGATGTTTAAAAAAGATGGAGAACGTGATAGCGGCAAAGTGCGTGGTGAGAGATTCGAAACAGCGACCACAGACCAAGTCCCCCCGCCTCGCCACGAGGACACCCCGTCATGGACCATGGCGGCGGTGGGATCGAGAAAACTCCGAGCCGAAGCGGCTGAGCGGAGCCGGGGCCATAAGCATCAGCGCCAATGTGGACCCTGCGCCTGCCGAAGGCAGCAAGCCCAGCCCATCCGCTGCGGGCAGCGCCGCGCCCGGAGTGATGCCGGGCAGGGTGGCTGGGGCGCCGCGGGGCACTGAGGGCGGCACGGCCGCCGAGAAGGGGTCCATGCCGTTGTCCGCAGCAGTGGCCGCTCCCCTGGACGAGACCACGTCCAACGGTGTGTATGTCCCACCCGCGGCCAACGGTGATGTGGAGCCCATGGTGTCCACCATGTCGTTCGTGGACTTCCTAATGCAACTAGAGGACTACACGCCCACAATACCAGATGCCGTGACAGAGCGTCTTGGAGCAGCGTGGAGCCGCTCAAGACTACGAGTGGAGAACCGAGCGACCGAACAGGCTTGCGCCGGGGGTGTAACGCAGGTTTGTAAATGGGACCAGGGGTGGCAATTCAGACTAGCAAAGTCAAGACTGCTTGCAAAGTTCCGTGCTGCTGTAGCGGCCCTCGCACAATTAGCAGACCGGAACAAGCAGCGGGGTGGCGCGAGGCTGTCGGGACACTCAGCAGCCGCGGCGAGACAGGCTGGGGGCGGAGCTGCGCGAGGCTCCGCAGGACTGCTGGGGGCAGCTCCGACCCCCCTGGGCCGAGGCTCGGCAGCGACAGCAACTTCATCTCGCGGTAGCGGCTGGTGTCGACCAGGCTGCTGCGGCGGTTCCTGCGCAAACCCAGATGGCAGCGGCGGCGGCACCACCGGGAGCAGTGGGCCCGGCGCACAGCGAGAAGGGGGCCGGGCAGCTGGAGCGGTGCCGCCATGGGGCGCCTCTGCCTGGAGGCCGCAAGCGGGCCAAGGTCCGGTCGAGGCACAGACGAACGGGAGTCGGAGACCCGAGTACGGAAGCCCCGCCGCAGCTGGCGGCGACTCCCGCCGCACCCCCAACCCACGTGAAGCTCCTGGCGGAGCTCCGCGTGGAACCCCGGCCCGGGGAGGCAGCCACCGTGCCTGAGGAGAAGCCGCGGGGCGGCCCCGCGGCCATCCCGGGAGGCCGAGCAGGCTTGCGCCGGGACTGTGGCACAAGTTTGTAAATGCAGCTGGGGCGGCGCGGGGCAGCGCAGCGGCTTCGGTGAGCACGTGTCGGCGGTGCAGAGCTGCGAGGCCTTCGCCACCCGCCTGCACCTGGAGCGCGGGCAGCCCGTACTGGCAGCCGGGCCGTACCTAGAGCTGACGGTCGCGTTCTGCTACACAAGCCAGCCCGCCCGTGCCACCGCTCCCCTGAAGCGGACCGCGCGGCCGCAGCAGTGCGGCCTGGGACAGCCGCACATGCGGCACAGCGTGGCGCTGCCACTCAGCCGCCACGGGGGCACGGCGCCGGGCTGAGCCGAGGCCCGGCGGCGATGACCAGCGACATGGCCCCCACCGCAAGCGGACCGGGCCATGGCCGCAGCGACTCTGGCTCCTCCGGGAGCATCAACAGTAACAACGCCGCCTCCCCACCCCTGTGAGAGAGGCGGCGGCGGCCCGGGCAAGGACCTGGGCCGGGGCCAAAACTATACAGACACTAAATTTACTGACTGTTTTTACATGTTTTACACATAAGCCTTTAAAAATTATTACAAATGTTTTTATCTAAAATAATTTAGTTAACTGTCTTTAGTTTTCTATTTACACTAATAAGAGAGAAAAATTCAACCTTGCCTTATTAATACATTTTTAAGTTTCTAATTTCGCTGTAGCTTTGTTTAAATTACTAATAGTCACATTTACTGAGTATTGTTTAAAATTATTAATTTCTTAAATATATCTAAATAAGTTTAAGTTTGTAACTATCTCGTTTAAGTAGTAATTAGCATCTTTAAGAATTTCTATTGTTATTGATTATAATAGTAACCTACCTATTCATTTCTTTATGTACACACTCAAGAATGTACGCACTACTTACCAGTATTATACCTTTAAATTCATTAACTTTCAATATTCACAACTAAAAAAGAGGAGTACACGGTGAGAATATACATGTAATTAAGTAAGTAAATCCTAAGTCAAACAATTTTCATTCTGACCAAACACTACATAAAAGTTTAAGTCGTATAACTAGAACATGAAAACAAAATAAAGATTACATGTATGCATGAATGAAAAATGATTGGAGTGGCCACCCGAATGAGTGAAAGAGAGATTGTGTGAATGTATGAATCTATGTGAACCATTTACACCTTATACAAAATATCTGAAACGAACACACACAACAAACACTACCTCTAATACATCGCCTTAATAAAAGAACTCAAAACATGATGTTCCTCCTTTAAACTTTTCCTTGTGTTCTAATAAAGTAAGTTTTCCCCAGTTATGTGTAGACCCTCAGATAATAAAAGTTTTTGTTCTACCCAATTGCAGAAGACCCTTAGGTAAATAAGGTTTTTGATTAATAAAGTTTTATTATTGCATAGAACTCTTAGGTATATAAGGTTTAAACAAGAAATAAGTTTACTATGTCAAGTGAAAAATATTTTGTTAAGAATTGCACTGTTTTTTGAATTTACACTGTTTTGTATCTTGTTATTAATAAAAATGGGGGAATTATGGGGTCTGGTTACACCAA